CACTTTGCATTTTTAATGGATGGATAGATAGAAAAATAATAAATTTGTTATTTTCATTTTTTTTCATTTTTTAAATTTAATTGGTTAATAATTACAGCACAATTTCGGCATTGCGGCACAATTGTAGCAAATTTAATAATTGCGGCAAATTACATAATTGTGATACAATTTTGCCATACAGCGCTGACTAAAGTACCCAGGATCTTTTACAATATCTGCATATTTGGGGGGTACTTTACTAGGGGGGTAATATGGTCTAGGTGTAACATAACCATGTAAAATATCCAAATATTATACCTATAAATAGTTAATACATATATATATCGATCTTTATAATGTTTTGCGAAGCACGATTTTAATTCTTTATGAAATTTCACTAAGTACAATCATTATAATAAATGATCTTATTATTTTATTTTAATAATGAAATAATAAATTTCATAAAGTACAATCTTTAATAAATGCAATCTTAATAATAATATAATCTTAGTACATAAATAAAAAATTCTTTATATTATATATTTCGCGAAGCACAATCTTTATAATAAAGTCTCGTAGCATAATTTTTTAATAATGTAATCTCAATAATAGCTTAATATTTTTTTATAATGGGCAAATAAATTAAAAAAAATTATATAAAGATTTTTATTTCTTGCTATCTTGATAATTTTTTAAATTGCTTATATAGTACGTGCAAATTTAACAGTTCGTCATGTACATTTTACACAACAAATTCGTCACAAATGGTCTGCATGAGAAAAACTTATGATTATTTATTACTTTGAGCAATGCAAAAGTATACGTGGTACTGCTAAAAAATTTGATATTCAGCCTAAGCAAGTACATGAATGGAGAAAAAACAAATCAAATTGATGGCTGTTGCACCTTATATTCAAAAGTTACATTCTGGAAGAAAAGCAAAATTTCCTGAACTTGAAAATAGCTTGGCAAGTTGGATACGAGAAAATAAAAGTAAAGGTAGAGCAATAACACAAATTATGACTATACGAAAGGCAAAAAGTCTTGTACAACAATCTGAATTTCAACAATTATATTCCGAAATTAATACTTTTAGTTTTTCTAATAAGTGGATGGATGTATTTATGTTTCGTCACAATTTTTCCAACAGACATAAAACAAATATAGCTCAACACCTTCCTGAAGACCTAATTGAAAAACAACAATCATTTTTAAGTTATGTTCTTTATCAAAGACATGAACATAATTATCCACTTGAATTAATCGGCAATATGGATGAAACTCCTGTTACTTTCGATTTACCAAGTTCCATAACCTTAGATGAACGTGGTACAAAAACAGTTAGCATTAATACAACAGGACATAAAAAAACAAATTTTACGGTTATTTTAAGTTGCTTAGCAGATGGAACAAAGCTACCTGCAACTTGTATATTCAAATTAAAGAATATACCACGTCAAGATTTTCCTCAAGATATTCATATTCGCGTAAATGAAAAGGGATGGTGTAATGAGGAAGAAATGAATTGGTGAATTAATAATGTATGGCTTAATCAAAATCAATTAGGACATAAGTGTTCACTTTTGATATTTGATTCTTTTAAAGGTCATCTTGTAGATTTCATTAAAAACAATTTTGAAAAAAATAACACTGATATTGCAATAATTCTGGGTGGTTTGACAAGTAAACTCCAACCATTAGACGTTATGATTAATTATTTTTTTAAATCTAAAGTAAGTTTTTTATTAATAAAAAATTTTTATTTATTTATTTATTTATTTATTTATTATTTTTTTTATAGCTTCATACTTTATACAATGAATGGATGATTAATGAAATTCATGAACTTACACCTATGGGAAAAATTAAATAACCATCATATTCTAAAGTAGCAATGTGGGTAAAAGAAGCATGGGATAAGGTTGACAATATTTTAATTAAGAATTCTTTTAAGTGTTGTGAAATTTCTCTCACAAGTAACGGCAAAAAAGACAGTTGGCTTTTTAATACTGATCAATTACGTGAAAGCACAACTGATCCAGAACTGATAAACTTTGATGAAGAAATTTGCATTGAGGATATAGAAGAAATGGAAAAGGAGGAAATAGAAATGGAGAAAATAAAAACGGAGGAAATGGAAAAGAAAAATAAAGAAAATAATTTGTATAGAGAAAGTTCGTTTTCTGAAAATGATTGGAGATTATTTAAATAAAGATAATACTGATATACTGTAAATCATTGGATTTTTATTGGTTATAATCTATATTCGGGTCTTTTACAAAATCACCTTCTAAAAACGGAAGGGGGTATTATACATGGGGTATTTTAGTCAGCGCTGTACAGTAGTATTGTGACATAGTTGCGGCAAATCACATGATTGCATTATATTAATTTAATTGCGGCACAATTGCGGCAAATTTAATAATTGCAGCAAATCACATGATTGTGTCATATTAATTTAATTGTAGCACAATTGCAGCAAATTTAATAATTGTGGCAAATCACATGATTGCATCACAATTGTATCATAGTAATTTAATTGTGGCAAATTTATATAATTGCACCACAATTGCATCTTGTATCACATTAATTGCATCACTATAAAAATTTTAAATAATTGCATCAACTATAAAATAATTTTAGCCACATGTATAGTCACAAGTACAACACTAAAAAAATTATTCCTACCATCAAGATATGATCTTATACATGATATAATAGTATTTTTAAGACACTATGGCTTTACAGAAGAAACAAACAATATTTGTATTATTAAAAAAACAGATATAACAATTGAAGAGATAATAAGAGAGAAATGGTATACAAAATATAGAAAATAATTAAGAACAAATCAAATAATGTTTATATATCAAATCATTAACTTTATAGAAACAAGACTCGCAGTATGGTTAGAGATAACATATATCAACAAAAAATCCAATCGGAAGAAATCCAAATGGTTCACAGAAATTCAAAAGAATTAAAAAATAATTCAAACAATTAATAACAATAGAACCATACAAGATATATACAAATAAAGGCACAAAACAGCAGTCAAAATCTCACCAGCAGAAATAAAATAGATAACACTAAAAAAAAATAATAAAAATATAATAGGAAGAAGGAAAAAATATAAAAACAATAAGATTAAAATACAGTATTACAATAGAATCAATAACAACTTTTCTCTAACAGAATGTCCAAGTTGTGAATATGATATACAAGGCAAACAAAAGGAATATAGTTTTACAGAAGCAGCAAATAGTACAATATGTATACCAGTCTACAAAAGCCAAACAAGCATCAGAGATATATCAAACAACAAGCTACAGCATAGGATAAGAATCACATCCAATAGCATCAACAATATAATTGATAATAACTTTAATAATTTCCACATTCCACTATTATCTATAATTATACAAGATCAAATATATATAGTACAACTGATATATATATACATATATTACAAGTCAAGATAATAGAACTAGCAGAAACCAGTCTCAAAATAGAAAAACTAAAACACATCACATACTTTACAGATAAATCACTAGATTACAATCAAAATATGAGTTTCAGATGGCATATCACAAATATCTCTAACATGAACTTCAAGAGTAAAATAACAGAAATACCATTTTCAACAAGAGCAGAACTTGTAGCAATAACAATAGCAATTATAATAGCTCCAGCAAACAATAAGGTCACAATATACAGTGATAGCCAAGCAGCACTTAATAGAATAAATAAAGCAGAAAAAAATATAAGAAACTTAAGAATGCTCAAAAACAGCTATATAATAATATGCATCTTAGACATGATCAAAACACAAAGATTACAAATCACATAGAAAAACGTCAAAGCATATAGTTGAAAATACAACAATGATCTTGTAGATCAGTTGGCAAAAGAAGCATGCAATCTAACCATGGCAGAAAAAATTGTTATCTAAAATATACAGAATCAGATCCTAAATTAAACACAACAATGAAATTGGCAAATACTTAGCAATACAATTACACTAACAGTTAAAGACATAACAAGAGTAAAGTATATAATAAACTGGAGTATACATGTGGTAGAAATAGATAGATCTTTAACACAATTGATGCAATTATTTGATACAATTAATTGAGTCACTATTAAAACATATAAAATAATTGAGTCAAACATAATTATTTTTGAGGATTTTGGCAATTGAGTCAACAGCAAAATAATTTACACCATATATATAAACTGAAGAATGTTAAACTACAATTTAACAATAATCAATCAATATACTAGAATAAACATAGCATGGGAAGATTCTTTACAAAATAAACATTTATCAAAAATTATAATAGAAACAATCAATAGCAAAGATCATAACAAAAGAGTGTTTAGATGGAAACTTTGGAATCAAGAACTTTAACTAAAAACAAGCTTCACATAAAAACAGCAGAAACATATAAAGATAACATATGTTTCAGGTGTAATACAGAAACTGAAACCAACATATATGTGATGTAATATATGGAAAATAAGACAGATCCAATTAAACAACTTAAACAAATCATAAACAAAAAAGTAAGCAACAGAACAAGAAAAAAAAATAAAAAGCAATTTAAACTCAGAACTTAGCAAACATATCAACACATGGATACAAAAAATTACAAACAATGTATATAAGGGAGCAATGATAATAGGAACAATTGAAATAATAAAATATATATAGAAGCAGAAACAAGAAAACAAATGATCAAAAAGATTTTTGAAAGATTTCTAAAAGAGCTAGAACAAAAGTGGAGAATCCAATGCACAAAATTTGGAAAATGAAAAAAAATAAAAATATCCAAAAACAAGATAAAAACAAATAAAAAACCTTTACAAAAAATATATAAATAAACAGATTATATAAATATGGGGTCAACACAATAATAAAATATGCCAATAAAAACTAAATTAACTGGAATACAATATATATCTTCAAAATTAATTTTAATAGAAATTGATAAAGCCTTGACAAATTAGTTAAGTATATACTAATATATAGGCAATAAGCCACATGATAGATTAGTTATTAATAAGTTTATTAAATAGATAGAGTTAAAAAATTTGTATAAAATGAATTTGTAGTTTCTCAAAATAAATTTAATA